TTATAATAAATCGTGGAATTCGACAGGGCGATACTATCTCCCTTAGACTGTTTAATACATTACTTCAATACATGTGTAAAATAATAGATTGGGATGATATGGGTATTAATGTCAACGGTGAAAACCTCAACCACCTCAGGTTTGCCGATGATATAGTTTTAATCTCAGACCGTATTGACAATGCCAGCGCATCTCTTGAAAAACTCCACCAGGCATCCGGACAAGTTGGGCTAAAAATCAACATATCAAAAACTCAATCTATGACTAAACTAGTAGTATCCACCAATATACCCTTAGGTGATGATGAAGTACAAGTGACATCATATAAATACTTGGGCCACGAAATCCGAATAGGCCGGGATAACAAGACCTCTGAAATCTTTAGGGGAATAGGTTTGACATGGGCAGCATTTGGCAACCTCAGAGAATCATTCAAGTCTGAACTTGCAATATGTTTAAAGCGCAAACTTTTTAACCAATGTGTCCTGCCAGTGATGACATATGGAGCCAAAACCCTAACACTATATATGGCGCAGGACAGTTTGCGGGAGGCTTATGTTCAACAGTGGACTCTATAGTGGGCTTAAATGATGATGAAGTGCCCCTGGCAGCTTATTTAGTTCCTCCAAGCCACCCTCCGATCTCCTAATTGGGCACGAGTTGAGTATGTGATCCGTGATTTGTCGGGTTTCCCCACAGTCACGTGATGGGGAACCTATCCATCCCCATTTGAAGAGCCCCATTGCATCTGCCGGGTCCTATCCTGAACCTTTTAAGGCCTCCTAGGCAGCTCCATACCCGAGAACCGAGCAGACAGATCCACGATGGTCCAACCAACACTTCCTGCAAAAGCAGGCTCTGTTCGGTGCTGGCTGGTCTTTGCACCAACGAGTGAGGGGGCGTGGCCTAGGCCATTTACTGGTTGAGTCTGTCAGCAGTTTACGCCACGGCTGACATTCCTCTTCAAGTGCCATACTCTCGCGCATGCTTGTGGAACGCTTAATCCACAATTATACGGGACCTACAGTTTAGCGGCACAAGTTCGAGTATCGAACCCGGGATCTCAGGCATGGCAAGCAGATGCGGGCACCACCACACCACTGTGACCACCGGCTGACACTATCAAGATTAAAGGCCCAAGCAAACGGGGTTTGGCTTCCCTTCAGGAAGACCTTATTTCGTTATACATAAGAAGTTTTGTCCCCAACAGCTGGTTTTTACCGTTGTCGAGATACTTACCCTTATGGGGACACCCCGATAAACAACAGAACTAGTTCCCAGATTTGCCCACATTGAATAGCCGATAAAACCATGCACAGATAAACAGTGAAGCGGATTATTGGGTAATGAACGGGGGATTTCAAGTACAGTACCTGCACGCCTTTGTCCTTCCAGAGAGCCTCGGTGTGTTCATAAAACTCGGATGGGTAATCGAAGTCGGGCCCGGTCGCCACGTCCTGGATCCAATCGACGCGCACCTGATTTTCCGACTTTTCTAGAGGAACGGGCGGGCTGAGCGTCGACATTGCCCCCGTTATGGTCTAAACGGGAATTAATTGCCTCAACATCTATCAGCACCTTTTGCCAGGCCTACTTACGATAATGGCGTCTCGAATGTTCTTCTTAATGTCCTCGATTTTCTGCTTTTTTTCACGCTCACTGAAGCCGTCAACGTGTAGGATTCGCATCTGTTTCACTATGGTCGACTTTCCGGACTCTCCAGCGCCCAACAACAACAATCTATGCGTAGCTCTGTACACCTATGGAAAGATCGCAATTAATAGGCGATTTTTTAATTCGCTTTAGAAAGATGGATAGGTAGCGGAAATAATTGCCCGCAACGCTGACCACCGCGATCGCCAGATTTTTTCTGTTTTGAGGAGTTTAAGGCAATCTTCGTTCGTTGCATTAGTTGAATATTGAATACTTCATCTCTTACCCTTTAATTTCCATTCTCTGTTGTCAAACAAACAGATCGACCAGACCAATAATTTGAACATTTTGTTCTTCCTATACGCTAGGTAAGTATCTTTGGCGTGAAGCGCTCGCCCCATCTACCAGATTTTACCGCAGTTTTGAGGTAGTACGTGTTAGAACGTGCATTAAGAGAAAATGGATTTTTTAAACGCATTTTCAGACAAGTTGGAAGGTTTCTGTTTGCTAAAAACGGCCGTTATAACAAAAGCAGATTTTCAGCTAGTCGTTTTCGGCTCAACAAGCTTCTCAAAATGCCAAAATATTTTAGAAAGCTTCCAGCTTCCTAAAAGCTGGGAGCCAGAAGATAGAGGCAGATGCGAAGAAATAACTTTTAAATATAATTTATGGCCTTTGCGTCATGACGTCATTTGCGAGTACCTTTTTGTTCTTCACTAATGTCTTAATGCAGTACCAGATTTCGAAAATAAAGGATGTTCACTTAATTAGATTTTTTTAATTCGGCGCGACTTAATAATTTGAGAATTATTAACTATCATTTACAAGAGAAAATGTAAATCATTTTCAAAAAGGTTGCATTCCTCTTTTACCGGCTGTCATGACCTTCGTTCAATGACTTACATTGTTGCTTCCAGTGGAAACAATAAATTCCCTTTCCACGTTGCCAGTGTCAACATTGCTTTCATTTTCGTTGCATTTTTTCAATGATTCTTCATCCTTCCCACTATTCATAGTAATCGGAAATTACACTTTTTGCAAACTGGTCTGGATCCCGTTTTGCCTCGTTACTTGCTTTTAAGCCGAAAAACTGTCAAATTTGCTGTCCTTCTTCTTCATGTTTTAACAAGAATTATTAGCGCTATCGGCGTTTCGATTGTCGATGCATGTTAAAACTCATTTTCTGACCCCGCAACCCGTCAAATTTTGCTTAAAGTTTCACTTTTTAGAGCAATTTTCCACGTGAATTCCTTGCATCTCAAATCCGTTAGATATCAAACCGCGCTTGAAAGTATGCATAACAAATAAAAAATCCAGATTTATTCGATTGTTATCAATTAAATGAAAAATTCTAAGATTTAAAGAAAATTAAAAATTATCAACATAAACCAGTTCAATCTGGGGGCGTTTTACATAAAACCTCGACCCGCCTTCCTAGTCTGGGCTGACGCGACTCACACCAACCGAAGGCGTGAGTGAAACCGATGTAATCCAGGTCAGTTGATCCTGGTCGATTTGCGCGGATAAACTGCGACCAATTTGAGATGGTTTTTCCAAAATCGCAGTAAACTATAGCGAATTTAATAATCTGAACTTAGTGCTTACTTGTTTCTCTTTGGCTAGTTGTCGGTTGATCTGGTCGCTGATGCGCTTCTGCGATCGGATGTCCTCATTGGCATGACCAGCGTCCCGATCTCCAAAACAGCCCATGGCCGCCAGAGGGGACCACCTGCACGGCCCAAAGTTAGAGAAAAAACAAAACGGTGTATGCAAGTCGCAGGCCCACACCCAAATGCTAAGTACTTGATCAACGGCACTGATAAATTGCGTTTTTTTCTACTGGTTGAACGTATCTTTGGCTATTTTTCGGAAACGGCAAGCCGACAGTGAATTAGTCAAAAGAGCGCCGAATAGAAAACAACTATTTAAATAGTGGATGCCGGCCAACTCGTCGGTGGTTGGTAAACAGCAATAGCTCGGTCGCAATGTGGACAAGACGGGAGTTGTGTGCCAGTCCTCATTGGTTCCGCTGCGTCAGCAGCCAGGGAATGTGTAGCTGTTCGAAACGGATTGTCAGTCTTCTGGCGCAGTCGGTAGGATCGATAGAATCGTGGAAATCGTGTCGTCTGTCGTCTGGAGCAGTGTCTTATTCAACAATCAGAAAACTCATTCCATTGAGGAACTGCCCGAAACCAATCTCCACAAAGAAAATTGGGAAAAGAACCGAATCATCCTTGTTTTCAGATTCAACACCGCTGAATTTCAATATCTTCCGATAGACAAAGTAGTCAATTGGATAATAATGCAGGCGTAATTTCTTTGAACTTGCCATCTGCAAAATTGCAACAATTACTATTTAAATCCAATAATTGTTGAAGTTAATAAGCTTCCCACCAAAGCAGAAAAACGATCTCAGTTGATAAGCAGTCACGAACAATATTATGTTGATGCTTCAAACTGCTTTGGGATTTTACATTTAACTCAAAATACAGAAGAAACTTAGTTGGATGAAATCATCCCTCAGATTTAAGCGGGGTCTGATATTCAAAGCCAAAGCTAGTAATTTAGGTGCTTCTGGTATGTTAGTCAATCCAAAGTATGTCAATTGAAGTCAATCTGCAAATTGTCTCATTATTCCAAAAACGAATCCGTCCAAATCGTTTTAAAAAACAAAAACACTTTCGCATGGCACCTTTATGAACTGACAAGATTTCTAGCTGACTTCTAAGCTTGAAAAACGTAATATATAGCCGATTTCGGAGATTCGAATAATCATGTATATTCTGTACTCCTTTTTTTTTCGAAAAGGTGTATGAATATTCAGTTTAATACCGACAGTGGACGAAATCGATAACGATAATCCTTTGTGTCGTGTGAATCGCATTCTTAGAAGGAATTCAAGTGCGGTAGTTTGTAAAAGTGTAGTGAACTTATTGATGGGTAGAAAATGGAAAATGAGGCACCAGCATGCAGAAAGCTGGTGAGAATGGCGTAAAAGCGTTCTTTTTCAAATCAACATTTACATTTAACGCAACTGCACCGGCGAGTTATTGAGCCGGTGCGTTGGCGCAACAAACCCTTTCGGCATCGCTGCGCCAACTCCTAAAAATTAACCTAGAAAAAATGTGCTTTCTGGCCAACGAAAAGCGTTAGCTGACTTAGCTTCAACAACGTAATATTTAGTCGATTTCGGACGTTTTAGAGCATTTACAGCTCCTTATTTGCTTTCGCTTAGGAAATAAGCATGTTTTATTAGATTGGGTCTACAAAACGAAAAGGTGTTTTTTCTGTCCAGCGAAAAACGCCAGCTGACTTCTAAGCTTCGAAAAAGTGGGAATTTATTTCAACGTTTCATTTCTTAGAAAGCATCATCAACTTTTGTTTTTTGGTTTTGTTTTGATTTGTACCGATTCTTGCGTCAAAAAAAACATTTCTTTTTAAATTATGCCTACTTTACATGTACAGGGACATTTTTTAAAGAAAGAATATCTAATAGAATTTATCAAGGAAATTAGATGCAAGCTTATAAATCTTGAAATCTTGTCAAACGTCAAATTTGACAGTTTTGACGCCATCTTGATATTTTTTAAACGGTAGCATATGGATATTTTCACCTCATCGGACATACCATTGAGAGCGGGTTTCTTAGAAATGAGAAACGTATAATTATATGCGCTTTGCGGTGACGATGTATGGGATACTCAACTCACTAATGCCCGGTTTCTCAACATTTGCCCTTATTGGTTCCATAACTATGTAGTGGATAAAGTTATAAGACCGATAAGATTTTATGGGTTTCCGAA